TGCGGGTCTGCATAGTGGTGGTGGTGCTGCTATGGATGTTCAGGCTTGCATGATGATAGTGTGGTATACATATTTATGTGGGTGGTTGTGCGGTGGTGCTAGTGCAATGAACTGGTAGTAGAATTTGTGGTGGTGGTGATGAAAGTAGTTGTAGATTTTGAGGAGGAGCGAGTTGAGGCTAGAATGATGGCCATTTTGTTATTCTCTCTATGGTTGCCAGAGGTGGTGAGGGGTGGCGTGGGGGTGGGATGAGGGGTGTTGTAGGGTGGGGTGAGAAGAAAATTAGTGGTTGTCGATAGGGGTGTGGAGGAGAAAATATGTGAAGAATGTGAGAGAAGATCTAGGGTGGGCAACGATGAGTGGGAGAATAGGGTTTGTGCCAATTAATTGGATAATACTGACCAGTTAATTGGATATTATTCTAGTTAAATGTGTAATTTGTGATTAAAATACGTAATTATGACTCCTAAATTGTGTTTTTTGTGAGTAATAAATAATATGTTACGTATTAAATGTATAATTTATGACTAAAATATGTAATTGTGATGTATAAATTACTTCTTTGTGACCATAACTTTGTGTAGTTTGTGAATAGTACGTGACTTGATTAGCTAAATTATAGGTCGCAAAAATTTATCAGGGTTCACAAAATGTGATAACTTGATTTTTATTTTTTTATTTATTAATTTTTTTTCTTTTTTTGATAAGATTTCACAAGTTTGCTATTTTTGAAGATGTATTTTAAAATATTTGTAATTATGTAATTTTTCCTTTAAGTTTTTTAAATATATAAGCCCATATGTCAGGGTTATTTTGTCTTTAATTGAGTAAGTTAATTAGTTAAGCGAGATGGTAAGCTCTCAAACTCGCAGCCGTAATCTTTGGTAATTATTTTATAGAATGGAAGAATTCTGAAGTGCATATCAATTTCATTTCAGATTTTTGCTCGATGGTAATCCCCAAATGAATAAATTCAATTTTAAAAACGAACTACTTATTTATAGAAGAATAAGAGTCAAAGAAATTGATTGAGGAACATCTCTTATTCTTATTATAGGATCTTGTGCAATCTTTTCATTAATTATATTATCCAATATCCCCTGCATCATTCAGAAAAAAAATAAAATAAAATAAAATCATTTCGAATAATATTACCCTTGCAATTAAATAAAAAATAATCTTACTTTTAATCTAAAAAAAATAAAAAATAAAACAAAATTAAGACCTTGGTGGTAGGATTCAGACAATTTTAAATAGAAAGCTAACGTCTAATTGTAGTTAACTCTTTAAATTAATATGATCCTTTGCACGAACGATTTATTAATTAGCTGATGTTGTTAAGTTGTAAAATACCTACTTAAAAAATTACTTCATGTATGGTTGCTAAAGTTATATTCTTTTACATAGTTAGAAAGTCTTTCATCACACTAATTTAATCTTATACATTTATTAATGCAAGGACGATACATAAAAAAATTAAAATGCAAGGAACATGATAAACCAACATCAATGTAAAAAGGAAAATTAAAGTAATTATGAGAACTGATTTTTTGATCGTTAGAGAGAAAAGTGGATCACACTTGTTGATCGTAAGTGAAAAAGTAAAAAATAACGGTTGAAATAGAGAAATAACAGTTAAAAAATTAATTTTTTGATGTGAAAATTATTATCAAATGGGGGCTAAATCGTGAAAATTTGTTCTAAACCATGCTCCCCAATTATACCTAGTAATTTCTTCTTAAAATGAAACCTTCTTACTCAACAATGTTCAAAGGCTTAAAATTTGATTGCACAAAGATAAATTTGGTATCTTCGCTCTTGTATTTCTCTTATTAACCTTCTAAGTTTCACCATGTTGTAGCTTATATGGTATTTCAAGTTACACAGTTCGAGATCTAGAAAATAAGTAAAAAATAGATAGCTCTAGGTGGATGATTCTCTAAGCGTGATTCTGCTAATTACTCTTTTTTATATGTATTATTAATTATTAAATTTCAAAAATATTAAATTATAGTAAGACTTGGAATCCATCATAAAAGATAACATTCATAAGTGGACTAGATCAAGCTCTTATATATTCATTTACAATATTACATTTCTTGACATCTGCATTTCAATTACTTGAAACTCACGTGTGATTTTAACGTTCACTGTTGACCCAGTGAATTGGACCCTTCACATGGCCAACGGTGAGCTATTCCACGTTCCTCCCTGCTGTAATAACAAATGGTTAGGCGTATATGATAGGTACCAACGGGGGTGGTGGAAGTCACAAACACTCGAATGATCAAATCAGTCGATGGTGGTGGTAATGGCGATGCCAAAATGCATGATACTCAAAAGGGGGAGGAGAAAATATACTTGCTTGTCTACAGAATGCTTACCTTGTTTATGGCCAAGTCCTTGATACTTATAGGCAAATGATACCGTTAGATGTGAGACTCGTGTGGCCATCCGATGATGCGAGGTGTCCGGTCGTTGGCATCCATTAGTCGCTTTCTAGGTGGGTGGGCATTTAATTTTTCTGATCTTGGATTGACATATGGCAGGGAAGTCGCACCAATCATTCCTAAAGATATAGAAACAATCTTGTGTAAAATATCCGTTTGTGGAACTGGCAGTGCAGAGGTGTTTCTCCTTGTCTTTACAGTGTATTACCTCGGCCACATCACCCTTTGGAAGATATGTCTAGGAACATGTAGATGCCTCGGAGTGTTCACATACGCCTCGGACATATACCACCTCGACAGGTATGCCTCGAACGTGTAGACACCTCATTGTGGTTAACACCTAGGAGCGGGCGTAAGAGCGGTCCCCCAAGTGCAGGGATGAATATTTATATCATCCGTAAACTTTTATGATCGCTTGTGTATGGATACCGTTGCGTGTGCTTTCAAGCTCATCTCGCCCTAGGTGCTGACTCATAGGGACGACGTATAGGAGATGTCTAAAGCTTTTAACTAGAGGAGCTCATCTAAATCGAGGCACTGACCCACAGGGGATGACGCGTGGGAGATGACTAAAGCTTTTAACTTGAGAAGCTTAGCTCAACCAAGGCACTAACATATAGGGAACGGTGCGTTGGAAATGACTAAAGCTTTTAACTGAAGAAGCTCATCTCAACCGAGGCGTTGACCCCACAAATTGGAGCCTCCACGTGGCCAACGGTGAGCTATTCCATATGTCCCTCTTTGTGTGCAATAACAAATGGTCAGACATGCATGATCGGTACCAATTTAAGGCTTATAATTTATCAACCATCTATAAATACTAAAAAATTCTTCTCCCCACAGCGTCCCATCCAGTAATTAGAGTCGGGGTGGGGAACAAGAGACCCAATTGTTATTTTAATTTATTTTATATTTTTCAAGTTAAATCTAAATTATAAAATTAAATAAATAATTAAAAAGAATATTTTAATCACCGTCCATATCCCACCCCAGAATCTCCTATGCCCCACAAGGTCAAGTTGCCATCCTACCATAATTTTCTGAAATCAATTTCAGAACGGGTTGTTCTTGGGGTACATGGGCGGCAATCGTTTTCAGCTCAATTGAATCTTCAATTAGGGCTTAGAAAACTCAAGATTATACTAGAATAGTTGAGAAAAATGATAATTACGTTCATGGGCATCTTGTAATTTGGTAGTTGTTATTTTTCTTCGTTGCGCGTGAGTATCAAGTTACCACTGATGCAAGTTGTCTGGTCAAATCTAATGCTTTTTCATCCAGAAGTTTAATCACATGGCCACGCTTCAAATGTAAGTAACTTTTGAATTTTGATTTGTTTCTATGGGGAAAAAATATCTATGATTACGACAAATTCATTTCAATCGTTTTATTGATAGAGATGAAGACTCTCGTGGTTCATTTTCTGTAATCAAAGTCAAATTTTGCTATCTTTGTCCTATTTACTTTTTATCGACAGGTCAGAATCTTTTGCAATTTCAAGCAAGAAATAGATCCCAGTTCATAGATGCTACTTGGAAGCTCATCAACACCAGTTGCTCAAGCCCCTTTTTCTCAGAGAGTCGTAATAGATTACATACAAATGATATCGCATAACCAAAATCTCACTTCTTCATGTTGTGCATAGTTTGAGTTCATTCTTGCAAATTGCAATTCATCTCCAGAGTCTTCATCGAATTCTCGGTTACCTGATTTTAGTCCAAAACTCAATAGCCTTCGACAGAATTTTTTTCGAGGAGCTCTGTTTGATAGTAATTTGGAAGAAATAGCTTCAACCTTGTTAGACATTAAAGAACTTTGGAGCTCAAAAACTGTGGTTAACAAATCTTTGCATAGGCAATACAAGTCATGTTGCACACAGAACGGTCCTTTTCTATATATAATAGGGAGGATGAGTTTGAAGAAGCGAGGGAAAATGGAGATTCAGGTGACGGGAAATTGGAGAGGGGAGCGATAATTGGAGAAAGTATTGAGGATGAATTTAGTTTTGGAAAGAACGTAATGTGCAAGATTGAGGAAGGCGATAATGAACAAGATGTAGAAGAAAGAAAGAGAAATTTGAGTCGAATCAAAGATCTGAAAATTGATGTCGAAGGTGAGTCTGCGAGTCATGTAATTTATCGTGATACAGGGGCCGGGATTGAAGGTATCGGTACTGATGGGGTTATTCAACCATCAAATTATAATGATGGTGATTATCCTGAGAATTACTACGAGAGGATGACTAGGGAAGATCCTTCCAACTCTTTGTTTCTGAGGAACTATGCTCAAGTTCTGCAGGTTAGTTTCTTTCCTTTTCCGTGTTTGCTGCCTTGTTTCTGGATTTATATTAATATAAGTTGTCGCCAGTTTTGCTAATTAACTAGTGACCAGCTAGAATTTGATGCCACAGTTTGCTTAGATACCTCTGATTCTCTGCACCAAAATATGATTTAGCCATATTTTTCTTATTCTAAATAACTTATCAAAACATTATTGACAGTTGAAGGGTGATTTTTTGGGAGCTGAGGAATACTATTCCCGTGCTATACTAAAAGATCCTGAAGACAGTCAAACGCTTCTGCAGTATGCGAAATTGATGTGGGAGCTCTATCATGACCAAGATATAGCCTCGACTTATTTTGAAAGGGCGGCCCAGGCTGCTCCTGAAGATAGGTAAATAATCTGTGATGTATCTTATGTTGAACTGAGAAACAACCCAATAGTTCACTTTGGAGAGTTTAGAACTTGACTGCGTGCCAGATAAGTTTATTGATTCTAGACTGAAATCCCCACTTTGGAACACTATAAAGTGTTTTTTCCCCCCTCCAAACTAGATTTTCAATGGCTGGTTCATGTTTCTTTTTTCAGCAATGTTCTTGCTGCATATGCTAGTTTCCTTTGGGATATAGATGACAGTGAGGATGAAGACCGCGCACCTAATGAACCGATTCAGGTGTTTATCTTCCTCGGAATGATTTTGTTCAGACCTAGTTTGAGGGTTTAACTAGAATTCTTTTTATAAACATCAGATTGAAGAAAGCACCATGCCGATTGACCTTCAGAGAACACACTTCGAAGAAGATAATATACCAGCTAGCCCTCCTTTACATCTAGCAATGGGACTGGGAATTGATGTACCTAGTTTCCATGATGGCACTGGTACTGATGTTGAGGAATATTACCGCAGGATGGTTGACGAAAATCCACGTAATAATTTATTTCTCAGGAATTATGCTCAGTTCTTACATCAGGTAAATGTTTATTCTTTCTGTTTTCATGTTGAAGTTCCACATCTATGTGATCATCGTATGAATTATCGTTGATTGACATTATTACACACGAGTCTTAGTCGTACTCCATCTTTGTTTATATATTCAGCAGATTCAATTGTTGTTGTTGTTGTTTTTTTTTATTTTATTTATTTATTTATTTTTTTTCAATATTAGTTATGTTAGCATTCTTCAATTGACCTTGTTATTTAGTTGAGCACTCCATGGCTACAAGGTTTTATGTGCACGGTCCAGCTTCCATATAAGTTAGAAGAGAATACTTAAGAGATTATGATTTTCTACAATGGTGTATTTATTCTATTTGACTCTTACTGGAGGTCTGGTAAAAAATCCTGCAATTTATGAAGGTGGATAAGACTGATGTAGCTTAAATGAAATTGGCAAGATGAATGTGTGGATGATATGAACAAACAACCGGACATAATACGAATACACGAGTAAAATAGTTGGAGAAATGAGAAATATATCAAATTTAATTTACCCATAATGGAAAAAATAGATTTCATTGGACCTACTAGTTGAATAGAAAAAAATTGGTGCAAAAGGATTCTTGTATCCACCCCATGTTTTGTGCTGTCTAAACGTTTCACTGTCTTTCAGGATGATATCTTGAGATTCATAGCTTAGGCTGTTCAATAATAATCATTCTCACTATTCAATCTGATCTCATAGTTTCAATATAATGTACTATATTTTCTTATTTATATCTACTACCCCTGCAAATGGGCGTAACATTAGTAACTAATAAAATCATCGAACTCTGAATAGAAGCTTGTTTGATTGTTCGTTTCATAATGTTCAAGTAACTTGCTATTTGGTTGGACAGTCGAAGGGAGATCTCATAGGAGCTGAAGAGTTCTACTCACGTGCAATACTGGCGGATCCTATTGACAGCGAGTCAATTTCGCAGTATGCTAACTTGGTGTGGCAGCTTCACCATGACAAAGATCGTGCTGTCACCTACTTTGAGCGAGCAGTCCAGGCGACTCCAGAAGATAGGTATTGATGAATCTGTTTCTTTTGATGACATCATGACATCTAAGAGGTTAAATACGTTCATTTCTTTTGTTGCAATCGTAAGGTCAAAAGGCTATTAATTATTGACAATTTTTATCCCCCATGTTCTTGAATTATGGTACACACTCAGTTTTCATGGTTAACTGACCGTTTTTTCCTACTTTTCTTTCACTTTCAGCAATGTTCTTGCGGCATATGCTAAATTTCTTTGGGAAACAGGGGATGACGGTATAGAAGATGTTGCATAAGAAGCTCATAGTCACTTGCCACTCATAGGAGCGACAACTGGAGCAATTCCTCAGAAACGATGACTAGTAACTAATTGCCTGTCAATTTTTCTTAGCTTCCCGTTGTCGATTTAAAATATATTGTTTATCCATGTAGAGATACAACAGAAGAAGGGGAAGATTGTGTCTATCAGCAGTTCAGCACTAGAGTAATTTCTGAAAATAAAAGTGAGAGTTCCCTACTCTCTATCGCTTGGAAACGTCGAAATTCAAATCACTTTTATTTGTTAGAGTGGTTTTATGAAGGTGCTGTTGAACACGAAATTTAAATAAGTATCTGTTTTGGACGGACTCTATCCAGATTTTTAGCATAAATTAAAACGTTATACGTTGTAAGTGTGTCCCACTCAATAAAGCAAACGTCTTTTCTTTAATGTGAAATCACATAATTGCCTAATTTGATGGGGATTGAATAATCGAAGAGGTATATAGGTCTTTTCATCAATCCACTTTAACTATTTGGTAATTATTAAGTCATAGATTACTGCTGTTGTACGATCCACATGAGCGGTCTAATTTATAATTAAAACCTTCAGATGATTGCTTCTAGACGTGCTAAATGCATTATCTTACAACTTTTAACGTTTTTGATGAGATGGTTTAACGAGTTTGAGAATATTTGAGTTCATGTCTTACCTTCATTCTGAAAATTTTGTGTCTCAAGCCCGTACGTGTACTTTTATTCTCTACTTATAAGTAAAATAAGAAGTCAAAACATATAGTTTTGTGCGAATTTTTCATTTTATTTATTTATTTTTGAATGAAACTACATAAAATTAACAAGGAAATTGATTGCTGTAAAGGTCTTGTTTCACAGGGTTTGTACAGACCCCTCGCATGCTAGGTGGGGGGTGCGGGTGGGTGATTATTTATAAAAATAAAATAAAAATTAATCCACCCCCCTATATTGTGTGTGGTCTGTAACAAGGCTTGTATAGGCAGCACTGCCCAATTCACAATTGGTGAAAACAAATAGCGCTACAAAAGTAGGAGGGACGATATGCTGTGTAGGTAGAATGGTTTGCGATGCCTTGATTAGACTCAGGGAAAGTAGTAATATTAACAAAATATACCAAAGTGTATAAAAATATAATAGTAAAAAAATTGAGAATATTTAGTATTAATATTATAAATTCAGTTTTTTTTCCCGTTTTCGTTTCGTTTTATTTATTTATTTTTTTAATCTTATCGTCAGATCAACTCACTAAACAGCATTCAAAACAAATAAAGCCCTATTTTTAGGCTTGAACATCTACAACTCCACTTTACACCCTTGCCATCGTTTGAATCTCATTAACTTCAATTTCATTACATTCTATTTTTCTCTTTTCTGTTTTTAACCACACAATCTTTCATTAAGTAATATTACTCGTAAATTGAAAACTTTTCCTTCTTTTTAAACACTCATTTAAAAAAAAAAAGAAAAAAAAAAGACATTATTCTACCCATTTTCATTTCCAAAAAAGGAGTGCCCAACGGGGAATTTGTCTATTGATGTTGCATTTTGTCCTAAAGGAACGTAGTGAAGTTCGCTTGGGAAAACATCATTTCTCTTTAGATAGAACAATAAATGAAGCTACAAATATTTGCCCAATTTTCATTAATTTTTCAGAAATTCTAAATAATATAAACATGCTGGACAAAGTGCAGAATATATTGGTATCCTCCACTTTATACCCTCCTTTGTCCACTTGCTATGGTATTTGAGGATCAAAAAATATGTATAGGAAAAAAGAATGAAAGACAAGGAAAGGAATTCTTGATTGTGCTATATATACTCTCCAATTTCTCCTAGGTTTCTCTATGCAAAGAGAGTATTCATCAAGATACATTCTAATTTCTTACTATTCTCCAAGTACTTTTTGTAGTAAACTTCATCGACACAAATGGGAGTTAATACTTTCACCGATGAGCATTGTTCTGCAGTCGCTCCATTGAGGATCTTTAAAGCTTCCATTGTCGACTCTCATAACTTGATCCCAAAGCTCGTCCCACAAGCCATTAAAAGCATTGAATTTATCCAAGGCAACGGAGGAACTGGAAGTATCAAGCAAATCAACTTTGCTGAAGGCAAATTTTTCGAAAACCTTTTAGTACTTGTACATTTTGATAATTAAATCATCTCATTGCATAGGGGCTAGAGCTAGAACTATAGTTGTGGCAGCAAATTTCATAAAATTTTAATTGTGGGGGCAAAATTGAATACTCTAAGGAATTTTTTAAAAATCTTCTGCAAAACTTTAGATTTGAAATTTAGCGTGGGAGCAGCTGACCCCATTATCCCTACACTAAATCCGTCACTATCATTGTATATACTGACCTCCATTGTTCATGCAGGTGGTGGTTTTGGTTCGGTGAAGTATCAAATTGACGAGCTTAATGACAAGACACTGACATACAAGTATTCGTTGGTTGAAGGTGATGCCTTGATAGAAGGGCTCGAGAAAATAACTTATGAGGTCAAGTTTGAGCCATCACCTGATGGGGGCTCTATCTCTAAGGTTACAAGCAAGTATTACACTAAAGGTGATTTTGTGCTCAAGGAAGAGGATATCAAGGCAGGAAAAGAACGAGTCCTTGGCATGTACAAGGTTGTTGAAGACTATCTCCTCAAGAATCCCGATGCTTATGTTTGATGCAAAGCTCGTGTCGTGTGGGGGGTTTTGCAGTGGATCGAGTTATTTATCCCTTTTTCGTGCTTTTCAGCAAATCGTCTTTGTTTAACAATAAAAACCAACATCTGATTTTGGTTTCTTGGGTTGTAAGCATACATGACTTTTGAATAAAATGTATTTCTCTACGTTTTATGGACTTGTGTTAATATATTTACATGGTTTTAGAAGTTTCTACTATTTTGTGAATTTTATCCCAAAAATTTACTCAAATCTGCAGTGATGAAAGATGTTTCGACAGGGTACTACACTTCCATGATGAAGTAATGTTGCTCAGGCGAGGTACTTGTACCAGCCTAAATGTAAAAAGGCTTTGTAGAATCGAATTAAGATTTGTTGTCAGATGAATTTAACATCTTTGTTGACAGAAGATGTGTAAGAAAAATGAATGGATGACATGTAGACCGTTTTTTAAAATGGTCCAATGAAATTCTACCACATGACGTTTCTGTCATCCAAGATGTTAGTGTAGCATGATTGTGCAAAATTAGATGATGCTGGTAAAGTTTCACGGGACTGCAAACATTAAGCCCCTGTTCGTTAGAGGTTAAAAAATCAGATTTTTATAAATGTTGAAGAAATGTGTAGTTGAAATATTGTGGGTCCTACGAAATATACATTTTAATCAATTTTTTTTTTTTTTTGCAATACCTAAATTGTCCCTGAACACTATTGGGAGTCAAAATTTATTGAATCGACACAGAAAAGTTCGATTGTGGCTCTCGATATGTATTCCAAGCCTAACCAGATGCTCATAAGAGAAAGGAGAGCGATAGGCACTGATGAGCAGCAATCCCCACAAAGTGCACGAACGAAGACTGTTAAAGGGATTATTCTTGCAAATTCAATATTTCGTCTTCTGTTTCTCTAGGATTATTGTTGGTTGCATATATCCTACACTTTGTCGAACCAACAGCATAATACCCCAGGGCACATCTCCAAGTGGTAAAAGGGGGGTGGAGAAATCCAGCTTTGCTTGAAACTGCTGCGTCAAGGGTTCGAATTCTGAAATATGGATTTGGCTCTTGGGTAAGTGCAAGTGTACAAGCAGCCTTCCACCCTGTACCCTTGGATGCATAACCTGCGATTTACCTCCCTCACGATACTCCAGGGCAGGGGCGGTGGGGGACCCTTAAGGTTGGGGTTCAACCTTTTAAGAACAACATGAAGTCGATTTCTGTAATTTTGTACCCTCCCTTGTCTGTTGTAGCTTGATTTTGTCCTAAAGTAGGTTAGTGAACTTACCACTAACAATAATTTTTCTTTAAAAACAAATCTTTTCCCAATTATAATGGATTTCCTTAAGTCAAGCAAGGATAAAAAGCTGAATGTAAAGGCTATCCACTTGATTTTCGCCCCGCGAAGGATTTTCAGAGCCTCTATTATTGACTCCCATAGCTTGATCCCAAAGCTCGTACCACAAACTATTCATCCAAGGCAATGGAGGAGCGAGGATTAAACTACTTTGCTCGAAAATTTTTGGTAGAATGGTTGACATCCTCTTGCATGCGTGTGGATCCCACATAAATAAAAAAGTCCAAAAAAAAGGTGGACCACACCCCATTGTGAGTATCAATCCGTCATTATGTCAAAAAAATTCGGGTAACATAGCATAGTTGGGAGTGAAAAGTATGGAGCCAATCAACTTTGCTGAAGGTGGTGGTTTTGGCTCAGGTATCAAGTTGATGAGCTCAATGAAGAGACTTTGTCGTACAAGCACTTGATGGTAAAAGGCGATGCCATGATAGAAGGGCAAAAAAAAAAAAAAAAATAACTTATGAGGTGAACTTTTAGCCATCGCCTAGCCAAGGGGCTCTATCTGTCAATGTTACACGCAAGTATTTTTACTAAAGGTGACTTTGTGCTCAAAGAAGAGAATACCAAATCAAGCCCATCTTGTTCTGAACCCTGATGCTTATGCTCGATTTGAAGCTCGTATGGGGATTTTTCAGTCTATCAAGCCACCTTTGTTTGACAATAAAAACATTAGATTTGATTGTGATTTCTTGGGTTGGATCATATATTTCTTTTGAATAAAATGTTTTTGTCTACATTTTAAGGATCCTAAACATGTTCCTTGAACAAAGAGCGAAGTAATATTCTTATGAACTTGAGTTCTCTTACATTTGGCTTTATTCATTTGAGTTGGACTCGGTAAGTTTGGGCAGGTAGTTAGCTTCAACAAAAATTTCCTAGGAATTCGAGGATGACATAGAAGATTTGAGGATTTAGTGGTAAATGGAGAGGTGGCCCGACCCATTCACTACAACAATCTTTGACCCAATTCTTTGGGAAAAAAAATTGAAAGCATTTAAATCTCACAAATGCCCTATACGAGAGAGGAGTGACAGAGACCGATCAAATCCACCCAAAGCAAGGTTGATTTTCAAGTTTCATCTTCTTTGTCATCTTTATCTTCACTAATATCCAATGTTAGATTCTATTCTAATGGTTTATTTTTTTATTTTGGTTGGGTAGTTTATAAATCTTTGATTTTATTACTATTTTTTTTAATTTTTTTTTTGAATATTTTATGAAACTTTAAAATAGAAATTTTAGAACTTGAAAATCTGAATTCCTTTATTGTTAAGATTTTCTATATCAAATCACCAAGAGAAGTATTAAATGTGGAACATACCTGAAGTCATTGAGAATAATTCTTTATCACTATATCATGATTCCAGATCTTGAATTTTGAAGCTTGAACCGCAATCTTTTCATATTTCCAGTTTTAATATTGAATTTTGCCTCATTTAATTCTTTAATTCTTATTCTTGATTCTTGAATTTCTTCTTCTTGATTCTTGATTGTGAATTTTGGATATTTCTTTTCAATATGTTTTCTCTTGCATTATTGTGTTAATATGATGACACAAAGAATGAGAATCACATGTGAATTAGGGACCATAAACCTATATAGTTTTCATATATATTTTACCCATCATAAAATATAGTTCTAAAGAAATATGGTATCTACACATATTTAGACCCACACTTTATTCTAAAGTTCAATGACTTTATTCTTTATTAGATCGCTTTAAAAAGGGGCTTATTTTTAAGATATACATAATTGATTACATATGTAGACCCACATGACAAATTAATAATTTTCTAACAATCTCTCACTTGAACCGCATATGTTACCTTATAAATGCATATAATCTTACGAGCTCAAAACTTTTGCTATCATTATCAAAAGCATCTTCGAACAATCTCGTCAATCAATTATGTCACACATCATTACTAGTATCATAACTAATATCATCGATGGTCACACACATCAATACAAGCAAATGACATAGATCAAGTGTAGATATATAGTATGGAAATCATATCCAATGTGATCCAAAAATGCTTATTTTCAATTGGTCCTACCTTATTTTTTGAATAAATTCAACCATAAACTTTAATCAGAGTGAAACTGAACTGAATACTTTATTTCTGAAATAAATCAAATATCCATGGAAAAAAATATGTGCCTAAATCAGATAACATTCGAATAAAAACTTCCACTAAACTGGCATGTCGTCTAAAGAAGCAACAATTATGTGAGCAATATGTTCATGAAAGATCTTGGATGATAGCCCCTTAGTAAGCGGATTCGTAATTATAAAGTTTGTCCTAAAATGTTCCATATTTATCCAAACACTTTGAATTCTTTTCTTAATAAATAGGAACTTAATGTCTATAAACTTTGACATCTTCGAGCTCCTGTTGAAACATAAGAATGTTGTTGTCATGGAATAACTTAAATGGTCTTTCAATTCTATCCAAAACACGCAGTCAGTGACAAAATTTTGCAATCATATTCCATGACTAAAATCAGAATATCCAATGATCTACAATTGGTCTAATTTTCTTGAATGTGATCTTGTAATACTTAGTTCTCTATAAATACTAAATAACTCAATTGGCTACTTTTTAAATATCCATCTCAAAATTACTTAAATATCTGCCTAGCATTCAAATAATGAATGCCATATCCAGAAGCATGCAAACCTTAGCATACATTAAACTCCCAACTACTGAACCATAGGGAATTTTTTGTAATTCATTTTCTTTAAGTTTATTCTTGGGGCATTGATAAAATTGTCTCCCTTAGCAATAGAGGTATCACATAGTTTATAATCACGAATCCCAAATCTCTTAAGAACATTTTTCCATAGAGCTCTTTTCACATAGTTTATAATCATGAATCCCAAATCTCTTAAGAACATTTTTCCATAGAGCTCTTTTATAATAATCCAAAAATACTCCAAGAATGATTCCCATTGTATCTATATCCTAATAGAAAAGAGATATCACCAAGATCTTTCATTTCAAAATAATAATGTAGAAATTTTATTAATTGGGTCTTGGGAATAATACAAATAAGATAACCCTATTTATAGGGTTATGAATAACAATAAAAGGAAAGATTACATAATCAATTACTAATGTAAATAATCTTACACTAAAAGGAAAAAATAGTTCTAAATAATCTTTCCATCTTTAACACCCTCCCCTCAAACTCAATATGGTATAGAATATTGAGTTTGAACCAATCAAGTCTTCAATTATTATTATTATTATTATTATTTTTTTTTTTTGTTTTGAAACATAAGAAAAAACCTCTAGATTGTTTAAGAGGCAGGAAACCCCTAGTTTGTTTAAGGGGCATAGGTAAGCAAATCCTTAATTTGTTTAAGGGACACGAGATAGCCAATAAAATTCAAGGTACCGACCCTCCAAAATTTTGTTTTTGAAAACCTCTAATTTGTTTAAGAGGCAAAAAACCCCTAGTTTGTTTAAGGGACACGGGAGAGCCAATAAAATTCAAGTACCGACCCTCCAAAATTTTGTTTTTGAAAACCTCTAATTTGTTTAAGAGACAGAAACCCCTAGTTTGTTTAAGAGGCATAGGAGAGCTGGTAAAATTCAAGTACCGACCCTCCAAAAAAAAATTTTTTGAAAACCCCTAATTTG